TTGATTCTTTAAACATTTCTTTTAGTTCTTTGAACATATTCATAATAGCTACTATGTGTGCCCTTGTCTGCTAAATCCAACTTCTATGGACAGCTGCTGTTGACTACTGCTTTTCTGTGTCATACTTTCCTGTGTCGTTGCCAATTTTATTGAAAACTAGATAGTTTAGATAATATATTGTAGTGATTCTGAATTCTGATTTTGTTTGGCTTGTGTATTTCATTGTTTAGTAACTTGCCTGGGCTAACTGTGTGAAATCTCTCTCCTCTGAGGTGTGTGGTTGCTGATCTCCCTCCTCAGTTTCTTTTCTCTGAAAACGTCTGACTTTGGACAGATTGTCCATGTCCCAGTAGCCCAAGAATCAACCAGTAATGGGGCCAAGTCTTGTGCTGAAACACCTCAAGCCAGTAGGGCTTCCATCCTGCAGTGATACATTTCTGTTTGGGTTGTGCAGGGTGTTTTCAATCGCTGGGTCACTTACTGTCACATTCTGTTGGACCTTTCCACATATCTGTGGAGGCAGCGCCAGGGTCAGCCAGGAATATGTGGAATCTGGGCCCTGTGTTCTCCATTGTAAAAGTGCACAACTTCAGCCAGGCCTGGGTTTGCCCGGGCCGAGGCTGTAACCTCAGGTTAGTAGGACCGTGGCCCTCCCCTGCTCCAAAGCACCTGAGGCGTCTTTGACTGCAACTGTTCCTCACTGTATTCCCCTCACAGCAAAATCTTCAGAGGGGAGAGCTGGGGAGGGCAGTGTCCCCAGGCGAGCATGCCACAGAGCCCCACAGTTACCATGTGGTGCTCAGTGGCTAAACATTCCTGTTATTCTACGCTGCTGGCCGATTTCCGGAGTGCCAGAAATGGGGCTTGTTTGGTCCACTGCTTTCCAGCAGTAGTTTTGTTTTCAGGAAAATGCCTGACTCCTCACTCTGCCACTGTTTTTCCAGTTCCACAGTTGTCTTTTTAGGGGGATGCCACCCTCCTCAATAACTATTTGATGAATACATGAGTAAACCCTTTGTACTTCGCCATTTGCCTCTGCTCCCCTACCGAAACTATCCTAAGAAAAGTTACCAGCTACCCCCTTGGCACTAAAACAGGCTCCAAAACAGACCTGGGCTGAACTGCAGCTCTGTTAGCAATGGAGCACTTCACAAGGGCACTATCTGCTCCAAATGTTGGTTTATCACTTATGTTAAACGACTGAAGTAACACATATGGTGTTACTGTGATATGATGATATATATTTTTTGGTTTTCACTCATGGTTCCTGGCTCATAACTTCCGCCTCAAGGTAAACCACAGAATCTACAATTTCTCTTCCCCAAGGTGAGTCACAAATCCTAATCTCCAGCCTTGCCCCCACCTTTCTCTGTAGCAGCTGGCCATAGAGAAATTCTCTGACTAACCTTCTGCAACCATAGGTCTTGAGACCCTCCTCAAGCCAGAAGGATTCTGCCTCATTCCCTGAGGGAGAAATGGGGAACAAAGAGGTCAAGAATGCTGACACACACAAGCCTTGCTGTTGCCTGTCCAGTTTGTTGGCAAAGATCCTACCATTTACACTCAGTCACACTTTTTTGTTTGTTTGTTTTTTCTGTCCTTGCGTCAGCCATGCCTGTGCAGTACCGCCTAATACCCTAAAGGGCAAGGCTCAGAGAGTTTCAGGTAGCTGAACCTGGAGAAGGCAATGCACTTTGTGCACTTCCACCACCCTTGTCATCTCTTCGTTTGGGTCCTTTGGTTTTTTTGGGTTTTTTTTCTGGTACCGGGAATTGAACTCATGACCTTGCACTTGCCAGGCAGGAGCTGTGCCACTCAGCTAAATCCCCAGCCTCATTTGGGTCCTTTGCAACATCCTTTATTTCCCTAAATTCTGTTAATTTTAGTAAATTAACTAAATCCAAAGAGGTAGCTATGGGAACCCTGATTTACAGTGGGTCGGTGAGAAGCATAATTTAAGATAGCTAGGGCTTGTGACTGGCATCTCCAGTGTGTGTGATTGTGTGTGTGTTGGGGGGGGACTAAGTCCTCAACCTGTAGGATCTGACATATCTCCAGGTAGTACCAGAAATAAATTGGATTTGAGGACCCCAGCTTGTGGCCACTGCACAACTCACTGCTTCCTTGTTGCGGGGGAGAAATCTGTATACTTTTTGAGGTCACGGAAGTCTTTTTTCTTGTAAGGGCACAAAAGCAAAGAAGGGAAAAGAGATGCTTTGTTTATTCTTCAACTATTATTGTAAAGAAAGTTGGGTTCTGAGGAAGCATCTAGCTGGACGCCTGAGCTCCAGCTCAGACTAGTCCAGGGTGCCTGCTCTCTTATCACCCTAACATACCAGGTGGGAATGCAGGGATAAGAGCACAAAAACCCTTTGAAATTGGACCTATTTACATAACTATAAGGTATTATTATGCCTTATTATGGTGTTCTTTGGGAACTTTAAAAAATCCCTCCCTCTGGGAAATTCTGGTCATACTAGAAATTCTAAAAATAGGGAAGCTACTTGAATTAGTGCCTTCAACTTCCTTTTTCCCTGGACATTTTAACCACTGCATTGTAAATATCTTCTAAAAGACCAGTTACACAGTTATAACCCTTTTTTAATCACAAGGATTTATATTTCTAAGTGTTTCTTCTGACAACTGAAGTCCACAGTACCAACAACAACAAAAACGCAGTTCAATCTCCCATATCGAAAGGTAGACATGAATTTGGTGTTAAAGACAGAGCTGAAAGGACATGACCAAACAGAATGTGTGGAATTCAAAATGAACACAGCGTGATGAGGCTGTCTGGGGACCCTTTTAGCGTCTTGCTGGAAATTCAGCTCTTTCTGCAGTGTACATCTGAAAGGAGGATCTGAAGAAATGCTTTGTTAAATTCCTTCCTCATCATCTTTCCTTTAGCTAGCTGTGGACTATTTATGGCTCACTCTTGTCCCACGTTCTTCCACCCGTTAGCCCTACTGCCAGCCCTCTGGAGGTGGGCATGTAGCACCCTCCTTTAGCCAGGCGCTGTTCCTCATCACCACTTCCAGTCAGCAACTCCGCCCTCTCTACTCCCTTACTTAGAAGCCTCCACTGTCTCTTCACCATCCCTAAAAGTGAGTGATTCCCAGACTTCGTTTGGCTACACATGCTTATCCATGTAGCAAAACTTTCCCTCTCTTACATGATATGTACACACACATGCATGTAATAAATTACATATGTAATTTATTTTAACATTATTCGCTTGCTATTATATTTTATATAAATTATAAAGATTTACCAAAATGGGAAGTTAAGAGGATGAGCTACAAAAAGAGTAAGAATAGAATTTGTCATATTTCTTCTCTGCACTTCCTGTACGTGCCACTTTGGAAACCAATAGTCTATAGGGTAAAATCAGGTTCTGCAAAACCATAGTCTTCAAACTGGGATCTAAGTCTCCTGAATACTTAAGGAGCTCAGTTTGCAGAGTCACCTCTGCCTGAGAACAGCTTGAACGGAGCTGATTTCTCTTTTCTACCCACTCCTTGCAATTGCTCTTAGCTTTCCCAACAGGTTATCCCTCAGCCGTCTTGAACTGTATATGTGCTTCTATGCCACACAAATGCACCCTGCTGTAGGAAAATCTCTTGCGAGCAAATAGAGAAATATCAAGAGGGGTGTGCTGTTTCATCCACTTAACAAACTCAATGCAAGCCTCTAACGGGATGGCTAGCTATCGTAGAATTTCAAGTCACAGGAAAGAAAGTGGAAGGCCTTCTAGTATTACAATTCTCTTTTTTTTAGTTGAAAAAATAAAGCTCAACTTTTTCTAATAGAATAATGAGTTTAACTGATTTGTCTGTGGGGACAGGTTTTGCCAGTTAGGTGATATTTTCTATAAATGGGATGAGCTGGGTCTGTGGATCCAAGCATTTTATTTTTCTTGCTATGCTGCCTGGGCTGGCCCTGACCTCCTAGACTCAAGCAATCTTCCCACCTCTAACCCCAAGTCGCTGGGATTACAGGTGCATGACCCTGTGTCCAGCTTCAGAGTCAGGATTTCAACCATGAGGGACATGCTAACTTAGTTATAGGGTCCAGATAGAAACTTCTTCCACAACCTGTTTCATGCTTTTTATTATTTATTTATTTATTTATTTTTTATCTTTTTGAGACAGGGTCTTGCTGTGCAGTTCAGGCTGGCCTTGAACTCACTTTGTAGCCCAGGCTGGTCTCAAACTCACAACGATCCTCCTGCCTCAGCCTCCCACGTGCTGGGATCACAGGCGTTCGCCACCATTCCCAGCTTGTTTCATGCTTTTTAGAGAATAATAAGCATAGAACAAGCTAAAAGTCAAGGGAGAGATCATCTCTCAAAAAATTTTCCCTTGCTTTTTGCCAAACACAAATATTTGAACCCTGCACTCAAGTGCTGTAGGAATAAGTAGCCTTTTTACACTGGGCTCACAGAAACAGTAATGAATGTTCTAGGAAGGCCTGTGAGCAAAGTAGCAGGTAGTTTGGGTATGTAGCTCTGTTTTGAGGGTGAAGCTCCCTATAGGCAAACAAGTTAATGAAGTAAGCAGAGCCAAGAGGAGGAAACATTCCACTTAAAGGAACTGCCTCAGGCCTCAGGGGAGAGGGATCTAGGAGGGCTTGAGGCATCCAGTGCCTGCAGCTCCCGCTCGGTGCCTATCCCTGTCCTGAGCCAGCAGCCGAAAGCCCTGCACCGAGGGATGCTCAGCCTTCTACTTAAGCCCACATTTGGTGCTGATTTCATACCAAGCTACTTATTCATGCAAGATTCCTCTACAAACACAATGATAGAAGCAAGATATGATAGACAGGGCATCAGCCATCAAAGATCTCCTGTAGTAGTCACAATCTGGAGCCCCATAATGATCTGTTCATTCAAAATAGAAAACAAAATAGAAAGGAAGGAAAGAAAGAAAGAAAGAAAGAAAGAAAAGAAAAAAAAGAAAGAAAAAGAAAACACACTTAGTCTTCTAGTTCTGTAATACCATTTACCCATTCACTGCAGTAGTGGACTTTTCTTTCTCATGTTTTCTCGGTTGTCTGAGCATCTTCTTTAGCTTTCCTATGGAAGATTAAGTTGTTTCATTTGTTTGTCTTTTTAGACAGGGTCTCACTATGCAGCCTAGGCTCTGAACTCTAGTTCCTCCTGCCTTAACCTCCAGACTGCTAGGATTACAGGCATGAACCACCATGCCTTCTCTATGGTAATAGAATGTAACAGGTCTCATAAAGCTGCTTTGGGAAAACCACTACAAGCTCATCCCTGAACACAAAAGTTCCCTTTTGTTAGACCTGATGAGACCATCTCAAAATAAAAAGGATTGGGGACATAGCTCAGTGTGAAGGTCATGGGTTCAATCCCGTGTACCAGCAAAAAAAAAAAAAAAAAAAAAGTAATTATCAAGCTCTGCGGAGTGAGAACTGTTTGATAATATGTTTCCATTACAAATACTTCTATCAGTAATACCATATTTTCTCAGATGGGTGGGCCAACTCTAATCTGCTGTAACATTCTGCTTTCCGCCAATTCCCCAAGAGTAAAAGCTCCAGTAAAATTTGCAGCAATGGTGAATGCAGCCTCACCATGAAGTACTATATGTATATAAATGTGTTCACAAATGAATTTAGACCCTTGGTGGCAAGGGTCTCCTAAATAGAAAAATCTTCCACTGAATCAAAACTGACTTAAGAGTTTGGAAAATGGTAGCAGGCTTAATAATCTTGTATCAAGCACCACCAAGGCCACATTTTAACACCTCCCAACTCTCAGATTAATTTTATTTTTGTCATCCTCTTCACCTCTGAAATTCTTCCATTCAGCAAAATCAGTTCCATTTAGGAGAACAAGTACACTCTGACTTCTGTCCCTGATATCTTGTGTGCCGTGACAGAAAACAGCTCTAATTTTCAGCCCTGCGCCGGAGACCCTGTCGGTGTAATGAAACTACGCCTCTTTGCCTCGAGAATCTCCAGGCTTTCCTGAGACCAGAGCTGTAATCAATGCCGGTTCTTTCATGTTCGAGGACTCCTAACACGGACCCCATTTTCCAGTACAGGGTCGGTTTAGTCTCTTTATAGAAAAGCAGGCTGTGCGAACGCTGCCTGGGTGCCCGCGCTTTTCCCGGGCCAAAGGCCGGGCCTTGACCCACGCCCATCTCCCTGCAGCAGGCCTTGCAGTGCGCCGGGGCGTCCAGCAGATGGCGCCACAGTTGAATTTTCCCGCGCTGTTGTCTGGCTGCGGGAAGCCTCGAAAAACCAGGAAGGGGATTTTTTTTTTAAAGTATTCTGATTTTCAATGCATATCACCTTATTTGCCTTGTCAGAGGCACTTTTTATTGACATTAGTTGAACTTCACTTGAGATCTCTTAAAAAAGTCATGGATTACGGAACTTGAAATGCTTTTCTTTTGTTAAAGCTTCCAGTCTTTCAAAAACCTCCAAGAGGTAAGTTTTCAAATACCACTGACTGCCGCCAGCGCGGCCGTTCAGAAA